GAATAGTCATCTACCAAGACAAATGCATATTGTTTTCCACCCAAGCTAGTAGTTCTAGTTGGCTCAAAAAGATCTAAATGGATCAATTGTAATACTCTACTAGTTGATACATCATTAATAGATTTAAAAGAAACTCGTTTTTATTTTCCTTTAGCACAAGCATCACAGATTTTATCATTATCAAATTTAAGCTTAGGCAACCCTCTTACTAAGTCTCCTTGAATTAACCGTTGCAAAACACTCATACTAGCATGACCTAGTCTCCTATGCCATAACCAACTATCATGCTCATCCTTAGCAACTAGGCATAAATTAGTCATATCAATAGAATCTAAATGCACCATGTAAATGTTTCCTATTCTATGACCAACAAGCATAATCCGATTAGATGCAATGTCAATGACTTTACAATCATTAATTTCAAATAAGACATTGAATCCTTTATCACACAATTGACTAATACTCAAAAGATTATGCTTTAATCCATTCACATACAAAACATTTTTAATTTGTATGGAAGAGGTATTACCTATAGTACCAATACCTTCAATATGACCTTTTGAATTATCTCCAAAAGTCACTTCTCCTCCATTTTTGGCGTTAAGCTCTATGAACTGGCTTTTGTCCCCGGTCATGTGTCTCGAGCATCCACTATCAAGGTACCATGAGTTTGAATTTGTTTCCCGTTCCTTGTAGAAATGCTCCTTTCCCTTAGAATCTTCCCCGAATGCCATCAAGCACAAGTTTGCTACTTCTTGTTCCTCTTCATCGGAACTTTATTCATCGCTCCATGTAGCCACATGAGCCTTGTGCTTATTCTTTGATTGACCATTTTTCTTCAATTGTGGGCAATCATATTTGACATGCCCCGGCTTTTTGCATTCATAGCAAATGATTAGGTCCTTCTCTTTTGGTTCATTTTTTAGGCCTTCGTTTCGTTTGAATTTTCTTCCTCGGTAAGGTCTCATCATTTTTCTAAACCGTTTGGCAAATAATGCCATTTCCTCGTCATCATCATCATTATTAGAATCACTCTCATCTTTTGTGGATTTGAGAGCAACTCCAATGTTTTTCTTCTTCTACTTCTCCTTTGGTGTCTTTTCAACTTTATCAAGGTCCACCTCATCTTCAAGCATCATCTCATGAGTGAGGAGTGAACCGATAAGTTCTTCAAGAGTTAAGGACGATAGGTCCTTAGACTCGATGATTGACGTCTTCTTTGATTGCCATGATTTTGGGAGGGAGCAAACTAACTTCCTCACAAGCTTTTCATTTGAGATGATCTCTCCATACGATTTAAGACCATTGACAATCGTTGAAAATCTATCTGTCATAGCTTTGATGTCTTCATTTGGTTTCATCCTGAAATTTTCATAGCTATGCGTTAGAATACTAATTTTTGATTTCTTTACCTCATCTGTACCTTCATGTGTGACTTGAAGCTTATCCCATATTACTTTGGCGGTTGTACACGATGAAACTCTTCCGTATTCATCTGGTCCAAGAGCACAGAAAATAATATGGATGGCTTTGGAGTTGAGCTGGAGCATTCTTGTGTCTCCTTCACTCCACAACCTTGGATGAGTGAGAGGCTTGATGTATCCTTCTTCTACGGCATTTTATGCTCCCATGTCACTTGCTTGAATGAAGTACATCATTCTATTCTTCCAATAGGCATAATTAGCCCCATTGAAGAAAGGAGGCTTGTTGACGGGCATCGAATCGAGACCGGAGTCGAAGTTTGAAGCGGAGGCCATTGATGACTTTGATAATCGATATAACTCTTCCCGAATCGACTCTGAATTGCTGATAGTCGAAGTTAGGCTCTGATACCAATTGTTGAGTTAATCGATCGATGAAATCGGCCAAGAGGAGGGTGAATTGGCAATTAAAAATTTCGTGGAAGCTTTTGTAGAAAATTGAAAGTAATTGCACAGTGATTTACAGTGGTTCGACTTTCTCAAACAAAGTCTACGTCCACTACCTTAGCTATCCACACTAAGGATTTTCCAACAAATTCACTAATTTGTTCTTTCTTTTGAGGCCAAAGAGATAACCTTACAAAATCCCTCAAGAGTATACCTCAACTCTTGAGAACACTCTTTTTCCCAAAGAGAAGATTACAAATTTGCAAACTTACAAGAAAACCTCACAAGGTAAGATGTTTGCACAATTCTAGAACAAAGAAAAGAACACTCAAAGATAAATACAATTGAGTACAAAAGTGTTCTTGAAAGTAAATGAATATTGGATGAAAAATAGGCTTGAAATGCTCAAATTTGAGGTTTGATGCTTTCTCTTTGATTCTCTATGATTTCTTTTTGATCAAGGGCTTCAGAACTTGTTTAAATACACCTTGAATCACTTCTGAACGTTGGGGATGATTAGTGAAGATCATATAGCCGTTTAAGTGTGAAAGCAATTAATTTTTCTAGGTGGAGCGTCTCATGCATCGATGCATGATCAAGGATGCATCGGTGCATTTGTGTAAAATTCAAATATTTTGACCGTTGGGACACTTAGTGCATCGGTGCACTAAGGATGCATCGATGCATAAAATGCATTCGATGTTTGAAAAATAGCCTGGTGCATCGATGCATGGCTTGTGCATCGATGCATCAAATGCATTCGATGTTTTGAAAATATTCAGAGTGCATCGATGCATGGAGAGTGCATCGGTGCATGGAATGCATTCGATGTTCAATTAATTCATCTATGCATCGATGCATGGACTGATGCATCGGTGCATGCCTTTGAATAATTGATTTAAGGCTTGTTTTTGGTTCAAAATACTTTGTGAAAATTGTTTCAAAAATAGTTTAAGTACAAATCACAATTTTATACATTTAGTAAGGATTAAAATTGATCTTGAAAAACTTGGAGTAATAATTTGATATTTGGTTAATTGAATTGAATATAAATTTGTAAAATCATTTGTAAAATCTTAAAATTCATTTAACTTAATTTGTTATATCGAAATATCAAAAATGTTTTCAACATTACTGTTTTCTTTTAAATTAACTATATCATTATTATTTTTTATTAATTTGGAGTGAATACAAGGTAATATTTATTCAATGATTCTCAATCATCTGACATTAAACGTATGGATGGACTTAGACGAAAGCGGTCGCCCCCTGAAAATTTCAAAATTCTATATATTTTATATATTTTATTTGTATTTTTATTGAAGATCTGTTCTTGTCTCCCTAAAATTTTAGAAGTTTATCTCTCCTTCAAATTTTATAAGTTCGACTCCAACATAAAATATTGCGTTCGTCCCTGATATTTAAACGTTCATATTCTTGCATATGTGGTGCTCAAATTCAGGACCTCAAGAGATAACAACAATAGATTAACTGCTGAGATAACTTGATTTGTGTAATTATATGTTACTTTAAATTTAAGAAAAGGTAACAATTTTTTTTCCTATTCCATGACGTTTTATTTTACTTTAGCGACGCTTTTTAAACATCACATAATAATCGATCATTACGTTTCAATTGGTCAGCATGATGAAATAAAAATATGGAACATAACATTTTCTATGATTTTTATTCTCGGTGATGCTTAAAATTGTCGTCAATAAGATTACGTTGTGACGGCTTCAAAATGTTACAAGAACCTCTAGTTATGTTTTACGTACGTTTGAAGCTTGTCTACATTTCTAAAAAAAACGTCACAAAAACTAATATATATATATATATATGACTTTGTTTGTACATGTACCCACGTTTTATAAATGATGGAAGAAAATAGTTTAGTTGTCATGAGAAAATAATCTAGTTATGTTGGATTTTTTGTTGACATGAACTTAATCTAAGATTTATATTTTTCACTTAACATTCGATTCAAATTTAGAAAAATTTTCACTCAATTCAAAATTCAACTTAAATTTTAGGATAAAATTTGACTCGTCTCGAATATAAAAAATTCTCATTTTCATTCGGTAAAATGAGGACCTAATTAAAAAATATAGAGAGTGATATTATAGCAATCATTGTTAAATATATAAAGATCAATTATATTATTAATTTTAGATCAGATATTTTTCATCTTAAATTTGAATTTGGCTCGACTTCATTCTCTACAAAATCCGACTGAACATAAATTTCAAATAAAAATCTAATCTTATAAGATGAATTAATTCATGGACTATCCGATTATGTATTCAGATGATAAAAGCCGTGTCCTTCAGCCTAAGTTGCCTAGGACTCTGCCCTTCAAGTTTGCAGAATCATAAACTTTCTTCTTGGCGTTGATAAATTACATCTTAAGTGTAAATAACGAAATCACATTTTTATTGCTTTATCTAAAACTAAAAGATAATAATAAGTTTTAAAGTCAAAATTGAAACAACTTCTAAATTCTAATGATATTTTAATTTTTTTCTAGGCAATAGAATTTTATTAAAAGAGGACTAATCTTAAAAAGAGGAAAATAGTACATATAATTAAACAATACATAACACGCAACAAAACTAGTCTAATGATATTTTTAACCTTCAAACTTTTAAAACAACTTTTAAATTCTTAAGCCTTTTTTTTCATATTTTTTTACCTTTCGAACTTCTAATTTTTCTTTAATTATTATTTTCAATTCAGGAATATTAATCACTAAGCATAAATGCAATTAGATAATCCATTAAAATTTTAAAATATAGTTCTAGAAAAGTCAGATACATGTTTTCATCAAAAGAACAATACCCTAAAACTAATATTGATTAGATATGATAATTAGGAAAGCTTAGAGACACAAAGTTACTTTAAACAAGCCCTAGTTTTTAGGCTAGCAGGCAAGACTCAAGTCTCCAAATCCACCAGTCTCTCACCAACTTTGTTCTTGCATGTAATTTTCATGCATTATCAATTTGTTCCTGCAAATTTTCATACAACCAGCCTCAGCCCTTTGCCAAATATCTAGAACCGAATATTTTTACCATCGTGTGTATGTATATATAACTTTTTAGTTTTACACAGATTTATGGTCGTTAGATGAACTTAAATAGACAATGAGATTAACCGTACGAATATATATATATATATACATACATATGATTTACTTACATTTCTGCTGCTTCCACAAATAGATGATGATGTTGGAGAATTTGGGATGTACCTAGCCCACTGCTTCCATTTTCAGTAATGAGAATCAGAATCCAAATTGCCATCAAATTTGAAAGAAAATTAAGCTATGATTTATTATAAACAGTGGGGTTCTTCAGTTTTTTTTTTTCAGAGATGAAAAAAGCAAACAGATGAAACAGTATATCTTACATTTTTAGCTGCTGCGCTGAAAGCTTCTCGATGTGGTATCTCAGGGTTTGCTGCTTTAATGCGCTGTATTTCCTCCCTTTAGATGTAAACAAAAAGATATGAGAGAAGGAAAAAAGAAAATATAGTTTCATAGAAGAATTTCATTACTTCATAAACCGATTGTAAGCAGATGGAAGCCTGTGTTTCTTCTCAGGGGCTACCAACAAAAAGAAGAAGAAATTATCAGTTCCCCATTAATCCAAGCATAACGCATCAACAATGGTTGAAAAGAGTAATTTACAATAAAGGGTTTTCATATACATACGTTTTACGACAAATGGTGTTTTAGGGGATGATGGCTCGCTCGACGTTGACGAAGATGAGGATGAAAACTGAGCACCTTTCCTGAAATCACCGCAGAAACTCTGCATCTACTTCACATGAAGCCACACTTAATTCCATTGCTACTTGTAATTTTATGTTACAAGCTAACAGCTGCATGAACTTGATTTTGATTTTGATTTAGTCTTGGTTTAAAAATGGAAAACGCACCTGGAGAGTGAGGCTTGTTTGGGGATCAAGGCATTGACCTTCAAGTGGGGGCCTGGTGCTGAGAAAGGAGAGTTGACTACAATGACCGCATTTCACTGTTACTGTTTCCAGCAACCTTTTGCCCGGGATCTCAACCTAAAAAAGTTCTTTTGCTTGTTAACATTGCGTGGTATTTGCAAAGATAATAATTGGGCTGCATACTTGAAAGGCAGTGTAAATGAAAATATACCGCAAGAACAGTGTTGCAGAAGTTGCAGCGGACATAGCAAAGATGGTCGGGTTGTGGAACCAAGTCCATTGCAGCTTTGCCGTCAAGGTTCATATTATCAAAGGGAAGGGAAGAAAGAGAGGATAAGATTAGGGTTTTGATAGGGCTATTGCTAGATGGTGGGTCTGCCTTTTGCTTCAAAAGAAGATGGGGGATATGGAGGATGAATCAAGAGTCAAAAAAGAAAACCTAGCGGTTTAAGTTAATTTGATTTGATTAAAATTTGATTAACGTTCAATTTGAGTTGAATTGATTCGAACTCGAGCTTAACTCGATACCTTAACAAGTTGAGTCAAACAAGGTTTAATTTAACTCGATAAGTACAAGAACAACTCATAAACTTATGAGTCTTGAGACGGTTTATTAGATACTTGCATTCACTCTTGATATATATATATATATTGAATTGTGATAAAATCAATAATTAATGTGTTATCATGTTCTATTAGTATGTTTTAATATTGATGACATTTATTATTTTTCTGTTGATAATAATATTTATTTGTATTTCTTATCTTTCTTAAATTATTTAATTGAATTTTCTAACCTTTTCTTTGCATAATCCTATTTTATGAAATAAATTGATCATATTAAAATATATATTGTATAATATCATCTACAAATATGTTCTCATGAATTCTTATTGATCCGAATGTTGATCTAAATTAAAATAAATCGAGTATTGAACTTAATTGAAGTAATGTGTCAAAATTTAGACTCAATTGGATGTGAATTGAACTCAATTAGATGGTTGCAATCACCTCGTCAGACCTCAATTTAGCATGTTTATTTAATCAATATATTTATGGATAGTTTTATGTAATTATTAGTTTCCTATTTATTACTTTATTATGAAATCATTAAATTTATTTATTATATTAACTAAATTTTTATAAAGTAAAAAAATTAAGTGTTCTATTGCACCATACAAAATACAAAAATGCCTTGTGAAAAAGGAAAAGGAAAATTCACAAAAGCTGAACAATCTCTTTAATGGAATTAAATTAAGAAAAAAAATACCTAAGAAGTAGTCACAGTTAGTCTGCTTTCTTCTTCATCTTTATAATCGACGACAACATTAGCTTTGGCGCTAGTTGCGGACTACCATTATTTATTGTTTTTTCTTTACTTTAATATAGCATATCTTTGTGTTTTTTTTCTTGTTTTAGTTTATCTTTTATTTTTCAGGATTGGATTTGACATTGTCATTACTGATCAATATGACATTTATTTGTTATCATGGCGATCTTCCCTACTTTGAACCCTCGAATTGAATTTGGATACACGATTTGCGTTCATGGATAGTATTTTCACGTTGCTCAATTCTGATTTGTGGTTTGTCGATGATATTTTGCTAGTTTTATCTCTTTTTGTGGTTTGTTTACCGATGCAGACAGATTTGTTTGTATCTACCTTTTGTTCGAGTTTAGTTGGTTAGATTTTTTAAACTTTTGTTCGAGTTTATTTAGTTGGATTTTTTAATCTTTTCCTTGTATGGTCTGTGTGTGATCTTAAGTTGTTAGTTTTTTTGTTTCTTAAAATATCTTTATTATATGTTTATTTTACAATTGTGGTTGTAAACCTTCATTATAATTTATTTATTTCTTAAAATAAAATTAGCGGATTCTAAAAAAACAGTTCTACTTGTTATCTGATGGCATATTCCTCACCAATGTTCTACATTTTGACAACATTATCTATAAGATATATGTAAATTTATTCAAATAGAAAAATAAACAAATATTATAATAATATTACAAAGAGAAAATTAAGAAAATACCCAAATAACCAAACTTCAAAAAATAAAATCCAATTAACCAAAACGATTAAGCTTTCAATTTTAAAGGTATCATAGTTTTTTAATTAATCACTGGTATCCGATTTATTAATCGACTAATCAAAATCAAATACTGTTGAGATAAGAACGATCCTCCCAAACCAATTTAATCCATTAACAAACACTCTCAAACAGGGGTATAACCACGAAGACGATAAAACTCTTTAAGTATTTAATGATGATATATTTTTAAGAATTTGAATTTGAAATTTTTATTAAACTAGAATAACATTTGTTAGTTAATTCAAACTTTGATGGTAAATAATATTAAATTAAATGCATGGATTTATTGTTTGCTCCAATTTTCCTTATTGTTCGGTTTGTTTAACATAAATGTAAGATTATGATGTTTGGTTAGAGGAATACAAGATTATTAGAACGTATATTTTATCAAATTATCCTTGTTATATCATATATGATCTTTTCTATAAGTTAAACTTTTAATATTAAATTACAAGTATTTGCATGCAAGTTAATAGAACTAAGAAAAAAATTATATTTGAACATATAATTAGTATATAAAAGTTATATTTTTAAATATTTTTTTATAAATATTATATTTTTTATATAAAATATAATATATTATGAAAATATTGTTATGATCTTGAGTGTACAAAGATATTATTTTTTAATATATGAGATCCATTTTTTAATTTTAATAACTCAAAGTTAGATTTGATTTCAAATTTGATTGTAAGATTAGATTAATTATATTATTTAATCTGTCTATATTATAGGAACATGTGATATATATTTTTTATTATCGGTTGTTAGAATTAAATTTTTTACTATTAGTTATAATAAAAATATAAAAGTAATTTTATTTTTGAGAAAACGAATAATCTTAACTTCAACAATATTTTCTTTTAAATACCCAAAAAATTCTTTTATTTTTTTCTAGATTGAGAGAAATACTTTTTTGCGCAATGATGGATTTATAGTTTAGTAAATAAAAGAACTAACTTACACTAATGTAAATAAGTATTGATAGTTCAGTAAATGAAAAAAAAATTAACTTATACCGACGTAAATAATTTACTCCAAATTTTATTAACTTTATTGTATGTAATGAATAATTTTATATTCTGTCAATATATGATAATGATAATTTTTCAAAGAATTTGAAACTAAATTTTATTAACTTTGTTCTAATACAATAAGATTATTTTCTCACCTCAAAAAATTATAAACGATTGATATACAAAATATTAAAAATATAAAATAATTTTAATTACCTAAATTTACTAATATTTTAACTAAATCAAACTCTTTGCATAATAATAATAATAATAATATATTATTATTATTATTATTATTATTTATATAAATTTAAGTAAAGTACAAAGAAAAAGAAGATTAACATAACATATTCAAGGACGGAGCCAGGATTGAACTATAAAGGGTGTAAGTTGTTTAATTTTGAAATAAATAGGATCTCTAAAATTGAACAAACCATAAAAATTAAAGGAGTTATAGTTTAATATAATTAAATTTAAAATTGAAGGGTCTTAAAGAGTAATTAAACCAAAAAAATTAGAAGTCAAAATTTCATTTTTTTAACCAAAAGATCCTAAAATATAATTAAACCAATAAATTTGGAATGGGAAACGACTAAATTGTAATGGTTTCAAATATATAGTGACCTAAAACTGATTAAACCATCAAAGTTTGGGTGGGGCAATTGCCCCTCACACCTCCCATTTAAATCCATCCATGAACGTATTGTTTTAGGGCAACTTTGTCTAAAATTCCATAAATTATCAAATACCTAAAAATTTGAGAATGATATTTTCGCTATCTTAACAAAAAAAAAACATTACTATCGATAATAAGTTATTAACATCCGAGGGAAAAAGATAACAAATCAAATGTGAAAATACAATTTCGAAAAAAATTATTCTCTTTTAGACTGAGATAATCATATCTTATTTACATTTTTCTGATTGACTCAAATAGAAGACAAGGGACCAAGTCCGTTGAGTCTGGAGCATGTATGGTAATAGGAACCAAGTCATGGAAACACACATCTTGAAACCAATTGTTTCCATTACAGCCAGGCAGTAGTTACTAGCTACCCTAGTTTAGGACAGAGAGTGAAAAAGATAGTGAAGATATGGGGTCCTGCCCAAGCATTCCATCTTTTGTGGGTGCCATGTAAAACAAGGAAACCTGAAAGAGACCGATGCTACAATCACATGTCAATGTCTCACACTCACACCATCGTCGATGGCCACAAGTACTGGCGTACTAAATACAATGAGATTTATAGGGTTCCTTTGTCTTGTAGTGATGGGACCATTCCTCAGTTACCCAACTCGGAAACAAAGCTGGTTCGACACTCGGTTTCCTCACCTTTCTCTGCTGGTATAACTCGACTTTCCCAAGATCAAAGGGTGCTTTTGCACTCAAGGCCCTTGCTTTTTCATTTACTGCTCTCTGCCTAGGGTTTCTCTCGCATTTGTTTGTTTGCCACGAGATTTCCTTGATATCGTTTACCATTATTACTTCATGACTCATTCAACACCTATAGAGTCTAACTGATTAACGAATTCGGACACAATCATTGGATCTATCGTCACCCTCTTTCTTACCCATATCAGGTAAATTTTTCAACTCCGATTTGACGCCTCTTTGACAGTTACTTCCCAAGGCTAGGTTTAGATTGGTTCGGATCAAATACTACAATAACTGGTTCACAATTACATGACACAAATCGAACTTACTAATGCGCCTTCTTATCATGGACTGATTGCATGAATCATGCAAATTGTTGCACGTGATCAGCAATTTTACCTAATGGATAATTCATTATAGGATCTTTTTTGTTAAGAACTTATCATAATTTTACCAAACTTAATAAAAATATTGGTAAACTACATGTTTAGTGTCTCAACTACCACTTTTATTCCGTTTTGATCACCCAACTATTATTGTTTTTCAAAATCATACTTAACGTTATATTTTGGTCTCATTTTAGTCACTCGTCTTTAAAAATTAATAGAACTACTGATGTGAAATTACATTATGGCAACACGCCACATCACCATTAATATTTTAACGGTGAGTGATCAAAATGAAAGCAAAACGTAATATTATGTATGATTTTAAAATAAAAAATAATTAAATGACCAAAACAAAACAAAAATAATAATTAGAGTACCAAACATATAGTTTACCCTAAAAATATTTGCCACAAGGACAAGCATTGATATATAGTCAAGGTTGTTATGTTGCTGTCTGTGTATATATATTCCATTTCGGTTCATAGACTATGCTGGTT